TTACACCGTAACCAGGAGAACGTTAGAGGCGCTGATATCAACGCGAACAACAGAGGTGCTTGAGAAGAGGTGAGTTTCTAAGTTAGAGTGGACTTAGCCGGCGCTTGATGCGACCGATTGCAATTGAAAAAAGTGTGAGACCGGCCTAGGTGCGAAACATTGAGTTAAAAAATCCAGAAGTATGCGAAAACTGTCGCCCGCTGCAGCTGTTCGCGCTCAGGCGCAGATAGTCAACTTTTTTCGCGAAATGTGCGAGTCATGACGCGGACGCCGAAAGGCAAGGAAATTCTTGGCCTCTGCCAGCTGCCAAATAGCTCATTTTCAATGCAAATGATGTGCGCTCTTAGTGACTAAGAAAAACATGCCTTGAGATTATGTGTTAAGTGAGTTGTATTACCGGTAAGCTAGAGCGCTTATATTAAAGGGTTTGTGATTCAGTTTGTGAATGGGGCTATGTACATGTGACAGAAGTAAGACTGACAAGTGAGCGACAGTGTCTTCACAGTGTCTTCCATGTAATGTCTCACTGGATTTCTGAAAGAATTGCGTGGATGCTCGCACCGAGTGTGCAGTTGGTGTTTGAGTTGGTATGGTTGCGGGGTGGCTACATGAGATGTTGCGGTGATAATTGATGCAGCAATTAGTTCAGATGACGCAGTCAGCGGGTTTTCCGGAGCGACTCGCGCAGTTTAACTATGCAAAAATCGAGAAATATAGATTGAATTGGGATGCGTAAGCTGTGTGGGTTGCCTACCATGAAGCCGAAGACGGGGCATAAAGCCCATCCTGATAATGCACGCCAATAATATGAGTACCTAAAAGTGAAACGGGAGAATTGCTATGAGATAACTTACGCGGAATTTTTCTAAAAGTTTTTCGCTGAATCCTGGTCCGAACTGAACCTTCGCCGTCTGTGGTTCCGAATCTCCTTCGCGCGCTTGTTCCATCAGTGCTCGACATCGCGGCTTTGAGGTTTGACCGCAGAAATCCCCTTAAAAGTACGCAGCTGCACTCATATCAGAAACTAGAACCTAGGGCGCTACCCTGGCTACACGCAGCTTAGATCCAACACATTTCGTGTCCTACAACTTTGGCGGCATTAAATAAGACCAGGTACAGCGGACGTCCGAGATACCATGCCAAACAAGAGCTAGCTAGTAAATAATAAATAGAAAAACTTAGCGAACACAAGCAGCGAAGATTATATCAAAGCACTACCGGTTTACAAAATGGCCAGTTTCGTAGTCAACAGTATGAATTTTAAAGTAATGTTCGAAGCTCACCTGGATAGCTGCCCACCCACGTCCAACGCGCTGTTATCAGTAAGACCAGGCCGCGGAGAATATACGTAATAAGTTGAAAAGCTTCATCAGATCTTCAAATGGTTGGCAGTATATGAAACGGTGGTATACATGCCATTCACGGAAGCAGCAGCTCGAGGCGAGTGCTTCCGGATCGTTCGCGGCCGCACAGCGTCCCGGCTTTCAAGTCTCTCCTCTATTCCATATCTCCAGAACACGCCCTCAATAAGATGAGTCAGAACTGTCAAATAAACAGAGCATCAGCATGCTCTTACAGAAGCAAGAAGGTCCGAACTCACGAATCACCTAGCTAAAGCAGACCACTCCCACGTCATCATGTCAGGATCCGTTGCCACCTACCTGACAG